AATTTAAGTAAAATATTGATTCATCTTTTTTAATATTTTCAAATTGACCCTCCTTTTAGATAATCTATTGTTCAATGGCTGGGTACATAAAATGAAACTCACTTCGTCTAGTATTAATCCCTTGAAGTATAAGATCGAATCATACTCGAATCCTTCACTGAATGGAAAAAGCTACTCGAATCAAACAATAGTTCTTACCAGTTTCAGATGACTTTCACCACCACGTTTTGTATGCAGTAAAAACGTATATTATATATATATATATATCAAGTCTCAGTATAATGATATTTTTTCATAGATATTCATAAGTAAAATTATGCAATAGAATAATTTATAAGATTACATTTAATGGCTTATTAAATGATAAACAAGTGGCCAAAACAAATACGCTTCTACCTTTTTTAAATCATCGGAAATATGCTACTTATACATTTCCGCATGAATAAACTTAGACTGAGTTAATTCATATGCATGGTTTGATTTGTCTGCCATGTACACTGAACTCAGTTAATTAGATATTCTTAATCAAGTTAACGATTAGCAATAACTTAATACAAGGCAGTTTTGCTGACCAGTGTTGCATAAATTCTCTCTGATTGGTCTGTATGAGTAGAGTCCTGTGATATTATTCCATAAACATAAAATGCTGGATGTATAATTTGCCTGAAAATTTCGGTCTATTTGAGACACATGGAAACAGTTTCACAGAAACTTTCTTTCTTTTAAGATGATTAAGACAGTGAATTCTAATCTGGCCTTTCTAACTTTGTAACCATTTGTGTCATCGTAACATTCAGCTTTAGAGTCTAGGTAATCTCACCTGTATTTCTAACATTCATCCCAGTACTCAGCTGATTTCCGCTACTGTCAAATGTTGCTAAATGTAAAAACTAATATTAGTTGCATCCATTATGCACAGTAATCAGGAGAAGCGTTCAGAATTGAGACCAGAAATTTCTGCTTTACTATCTATCGAATCTGAGATTTCTAAGAGGAAAATGGAAGAGCTATTGGAGATGATACACGAGGCATCCGTGTAGACAACTTTTTCTTCCAGACAGCTTTAATTTTCAGGCGAAAGATTTAAATCTAAAGTACATCACTTTGCATCGTACACAATTTCTCGCAATTCAGAAACGATTTTTTAAAAATATTTGTTTTTAGGTTGGAATTCATCATGGACTGATATCAGTTGAAGTGAGTGAAGTAAATATTTTGTGACGAACAAATATTTTTACAAAGCCCTCTAATATTCTTAAACATATTTACTCCTCTAGGAATATTTTATCTGAAAATATAAACTTCAAAACTTATCATTCTTCCTGATGATGTGCGTTATGTAAGACTCCCAAATCTATTAACACTTCCAGTTTTAATGTACATAAATGACATCCATTTTTAATTTTTCAATTCAAACTTGGTTGAATTACATTGGAGACAATAATTTAGTTTAATCCTTTATCACTCTTTCATTTCAATAATGATCCTGACTGAAATACTTATCTCTGATAGTTCATGCTTTCATTTCTTAGGATTTAAAGCAGACACGAAAATGTTTTTTTACAAGACAGAAAGCAGTGTCACAAAACAGCTACTTGGCTAGTTTTGAACATCTAAAGGTTTCGAAAAGCGTCACTAAATACAGCTTATGTAGACTTACATAACTCAGTAATATAGTGCATAACGTACTTTTCTGAAATTTCTACGGATTACGATATGTGTGAAGATAATAAACTGCTTTTTAGTTACTTTATTTGAACCAAAACTATTGTATCAAATAAAGTCTGTGTATCAATGGGAACAAACCTCTTAGTAGATATGACTTTTTGTTTGTCTTAAATTCTCCATTTTACGATATTAATAAACGGCGTATTTGATGACAAAAGATAAAAATAACTGGGTAATGATTGAAGGAGAAATAAAAATCTAGGTCAGTGAGGAATTGAAACTAGTGGCATCCAGGTTACAGATCCGGTGCTAAAAGTAACTAAGATGTAGGACTCAGTTGTTTGGCTGATAAAGCCTGGTAATCCGAAGTTTGCTGGCTTGAATCTTGCCGTGACTCAGACTTCTGTTTCACTTTGAATGATTACCAAGTATTAGTAATGTGAGTCTGCAAAATCTAGACTGTCTCAGATAGTCAAGCTGATAACTAAAAGTATTTATCATTTTGACTTCTGTTTTAATATTTGAATGCCTGGTCAGCACCACTACTTGAAATAGTATTCTTTTCTAGTTTAAAGCATATTTGTGATGAAAAATACTAGTGTGCAAGGTATTCGTGTTCAGTCTGGTGTTTATTGATACACGCTGGGAATAAGAAATATTGAATTTGAAGTCAGTCCCTGAATCATAAAATGCTGGCTATTCAAACCAACTATCACGGGAAGAACTCATACAGTGTTATCAGTATGCTGTTAGGGAAACCAAAACTAGAAATGAACAGGTTTTCAGTGTGTTTTGACTTTCATTTCCTCCTCAATTAAAGTTGTTATTATGTGAATATCATGAAATAATGACTGAAGTGAGAAAATGAAAGTATGCTAACTGTCTTACTTGTATAGTAGGTAATGGAATGTTTCTATTTTGACCTGTTTATCAAATGTATCCGAATTCCTAATAGTGTTATCCATTGGATGATGTTTCGGGCATAGTTTATTGTCCACACTAAGATCAATTAACTCCACAACTTTGAGACATGGTTTATAGAACTGCATCAACTGTCTCAAAGTTATGAAGTTACGTGATGTAAATATGCACTTTAATCTATTTCCAAAAAGTTATTCCGTAAATAATACTGGTGTATAACACCAAATAAGCGGACTCAAATAGAATTACAATCTTATTTCGATAAATTATTATATCATAAACTCAACGGCATTCAGTTGTATCATAATAACCACTTTTAAAAACTTAGATGTTTGCGCTTTCTGTAGTTTAAAGAAAAATTTATTTAGCTGGATACTTTTGATGTACTGAACGAAATCAAACAGTCCTCCTCATTAAAATAGTGGTCTCCATGCTAAGACCTATCATCCTGCTCCGAAAAGGCTCCAGTGGCGATGTTGCAACACTTGGTTTATGCCAGGAGTAATCCAGTATATCTTCTTTCATCTAAAATTTCCGACAAAGTCTAAAAGTTATTTGCTGCAAACTGTTTTCACTACCTTATTCTTAAGAACAAGAGAAAAGTTAAATAACTTTTGAATATTGTCCAGGAAACTATATTTTACAAAAACTATTTCTTCATTTAATTCAGTACTTTGAGATATTAGTCATACAAGTCAACTTAAAACTTAAGAGATTACCAGGAAACGTTTGTTAGCTTAAGTAGACTTCCACCTCTTGTTGTAATCATCAAGTTTGTAATTGCACATTTAAAATTGAGAACTGCACTTCTGTGATTCCGTAGGCATCTCAGTCATTACACTGTTGATTAATCTCCCCAAGAATTCTAACATTTGACTACCCATTTTTAAATCAGATAAATGAGTTTTATTTCAGTAGGATTTTTATGAAAAATAATCTTATGTGGTTATGAATCACAAATTACTTATCTTACAACTTTTACAGTATAAATAATTTTTAGGGCATGAAATTAATCATTTGGGATTCTGCCTAAACGTATACTTGAAGTAATAGGCACAATTTATGGTATTGTACAGCTGAAATTTACTCACTACATTAAATCTGTTCTACACATATCTTTGTTGACAGTCATAACTCCTAGTTCATTTCTGTGTTGCTACAAGGTCTCCTAACTAAAATGGCAAGGACACAGACATATCCAAACCATCTAAGTAATCAATGACCATAGGACAAAACTTGTCTATATAAAAAGTACAAATTATCAATCCTAATGATATGCAAAATATATATTTCCATGATACTGGTGTTATAAGATGACAGCTCCCATGATTTGTTCTAAGAGACGGTTGTCAATTTTTTTCTGAATAACTTGAGCTTCTATTTAGCATCTCAAAGTTAATAATGAAATTTATTCCCAACCACGAACGGTGTTATTTTCGAAAGTTTACGAATATTAACCAAGCCATTTATTCACATCAACAAACTTTTGTGTCAAAAATAGATGTTTATATGACATGTACTCTTCTGTCAACCATTCAGGTTCGAATGTGCAAATAGTCTACAATGTTTGTTTCGACTGTAGTCATATACTACATCAATAATTAGTATACTCGTCCATAATTTGAAATCCAGACGGTTGATCAAGTTAAAAAGATATCTGCTTACGATGAAATAATGTAGTACACTAGGTGAAGTAAACATCATGTACAGGAATGTGTTTAAATAAAATATTACCCGCTTTTGCATAGCATTTAAGTAACAAGTAATAAATATCAACATTACTTTGGGTATAATGGATATAAAATTAGTTAGCTGAAAATGAACTTCTGATACGCATTATTACACAAATAGATAAGAGATGAAAATAAAGATAGACTATTCTCAATTGCATTGCATATTCACTGTTTGAATTAAGCATCCAGAAGGGATACATACAGTTCTGTATCCACTTGATACAATTAACATAAAATGAAGTTATTGAAATAAGTTTTTTGCATATAGGGCTGAATGTCACTTTTGTTCGATTATTTATTCACTGACAAAGCAGTTTATTATCTGTTAGAGCAGAAGATAATTTAAGGCTTGTAAATTTAAAGTATTTCCATTATTTTAAAATTGTATTAGCAGGTGCTATGCCATGCACGGTTAAAACATCATTTTCATGTAACTTCAGTAGTAGTATGAACAACTAATTACTTCTGAGACATTGCTCACTGAGTAATACTGTTCATTAGGATGTACCTACGAAACGCAATAAGTTATTTGTGCATAATTTTAGAATAAGAATATAGAAGATCATAATACTTAACAATACAGATATTTTCAGAATAACATTACGAAAATATTCACTCAAGTATTTTTGCATTCCCTAGTTTCACATATCATTTAAAAATGTAACTTATATGACTTACCTTCAGACAAAAGATGAGCGAAATTGGTAGTGTTAATATGATTAGAAAAATGCACAAGACGTGAAGAAAACTTTCCATAAACCAGTCTTCATCAGTATGCACTGAATTTTGTACTAAAATATGAGTTTCTTCATTGTCATCCATAGAATCTTTAGCTGAAAAATACTTTTTTAGTGATATAAATTTACGCAAACGCCCACGTTTTGTCTGTCTTACATCATCAATTTGAGGGATAAGAGACTTTTTTGACTGAATCAAAGAATAATTCTTAAAAAAATCAACATTTGTTGTATCATCTTTGTCATAATCCTTTGCCAATGCTAATATTTGTAACAGCTCTTCTGGAACATCTGCTGTGTCTGATGTTTCTGGTACTGTTGGTGGTGGTAGTTTAGATGCAGAAAGTATGGCTTCAGCAATTTGAGGATCGGCCATTTCTTTACGTTTGCGTTTTGCAATAACAAGACCCAATGGGTCTACCTTTGTGGCCTGTGCACTTGATAAGTGTGACAATGGAGCCATAAGGTTTGCAGCTGTACAAAGCATTTCACCAGATTTTGGTGGACTGCTTTCTTTATTGGCTTCAGTAATATCTGTTTTAGAGTTATCCATAACACAAAACTCCAGTTTTATAATATCTGCTGAATTTATAAAATCCCTTATAAATGATAGCTGGATATTTGTTAGTGATAAAGGACTATTATTAAGGCTTTTACTTGTGATAATATTGTTTATCGGTCCAAAAAACCGCATCACATCCTTCAAGTATTACTCATGATACATAAACACAGGGTATTAATGTCAAAAATACTCTAAAACCTAGTATTTGGGCTCGGTAATTGGGTCGTATCTTTGATCAGCTTAAAAGTCAAATTTCCCAGTTTATTGAAGTTTTAATAGGATTTGTTGGAAGCAACCATCGTGTTGATTGGTCAAAACGTGCATAACAATTAACATTCCTATTGGTTAGCAAAATGTACGTATTATTTTGATAATAATTTAACTATAAGTGAATCTGAATGCAGTGGAGTAAATATCTTGCTAAACTACTAGATTAAAAAATAACTCCTTTCATATCACTTATATTTTGCTAACTGTAGCTGAGTAGGTATCTTAAGATAGTGAGTCCTACTTTGAAATCAGATATCATAATGCCAGGAACACTAAAATGACGATAGGATTGTTTTATCTTTCCACCCCTTGTTTACAAAAAGAGCTTAAAACGAATAATGTTTCCATTATATTAAACTTTAACAAGACATTATAATCATCTCACACAGGTCTGAAAAACTTTGACATTATCGCCAGACTGACGAAATCGAACATTTTTACTTCTACAGGATTTTACGATTGCTTTGAATGATTAAATAAATATCCTTAAACCCAATCGTATACCTAATCTTAGATTGTGACGGTCTCTGTATTAGTACTGAATAAGATATTATGCGCTGGGTTTGAACTATTAAAAAGACATCAGCAGTTTTCCTTCAAAAGGAGTATAACAAATGATGTAAATAAACGAAATAACGATCTTTCCTCCTTTTTTTGAAATCGCTCGCTCAAAAAATTTGCGTATATGTTAAAGATGGTTTTTGTGCTTCACTGACCGAAAAATCGCAGGAATAAGCTGACAATGTGTGTATTTGTGAATGTAGAGATAAATGCTCGAAACAGAATGCCTTGTTTTCAAACCCTATCCAAATTTAAATGAGGAATGTTTTGGATGGAACTGCTTAGTCACTATATATTAGGATTCGTTAAAAAGGTCGAGTTACAGTGAAAATTCACTGATTTTTACTTATGAAAGGTATCATGAATGTGCGATATTTAATGAATAATAAATATGGATTCAATTTTGCTAAAAATATCTTTCGAAATATCAACTTTGTTCGCTTACAGCTATAGGGGTTAATGAAAATATTGTGAAATTTGAAGCGTACAAAACAACTATCTGATTACATTTATTTCTCTCGAAAGTTTCTTCGGCTTGTGCTCAGTATTATTCTCCCGGTTGTTAAATATTAGATTACCTCGAGTTATTGAAATAATGACATTTCTTCTAAGCATTTTCTAAGGTGCAATAAGATAATTGTGTGTAAGAATCAGCAGAGTATGCATGTCGGTGATCGAACAGTAAATAGTGTGACTGATTATCCTTGAATACTTCAATGAACCTATGGAATTTTAGAGGTCACTATTGAAACAGTCATGTTTAAGTGGGGTTATACATATGTCCCTTGGTAAAGATATCATAAAAATGTATTCCTCACCGCAAGAGCTTGTTAACATTACTCAGCTAGTAAGAAATTATTCCTAATCGTATTAAACATCATACGCAAACCACGTTCATTGAGCTTCATAAGTCCTTTTACTGGATAAGTGGAAGAAATCAAGACTAATCATCGTGGTGACAAAGGTTTTTTGAAGTACTTGCAATCAGTGGGTCGAATATGTATAAACCTATATGCAGAAGTGAAAAACCCCTTTTCACGCTCAGGACTGATGTCACTAGTGAGCATATAAAGAACCTTGGAGAATTTTAATTTCATTTCAGAAATTAAAAGAAATCACTAGTGAAGCAGTGGAGTAGGGCAGTTAAAAGCCAGGTAAAATGCCGAAAACCATCAACCATAAGTTCCTCTTCCAATTAATTATGTCTTAACCCTTTAAAATCTTAATTCTGAAACCTCTTTTGTATTTTCATTTCTGCGTCCTTATTTTTAATCTCTTTCGTTATACTTTAGTTAAATACACTAGGTTATTAGAATTATCGTTTCGCAGATGTATTAAAAACTTTTGCTGGATGCCTTCTGATTGGCTGCCTCAAGTTCACCAGATTTTGTCCAGTTTAATCAAAAGTAATAGGCTGGGATTATACAACAAACGCTTATGGGAAATAAGTAGTTTTTTGATTTCACTCAATTCCTCACTGTATTTGATGAACAAATAAAATATTGTAGCCACATCTAAATAAATCTTTATAGCTATGGCCACATTTTAAAGCGATTGTTTCCGTTTTTTATTTAACCACTGATACGATGTACGTAGTCATTCTCGCTCTGCTTTAAGCCTATCTTTCTTGCGTTTATCAAAATTCCGAAGCACTGTAAAACAAATACATGTTAGGATATGCATATCTGTAATCCACAGGGAAGATGCTATTTAGATGTATACGAAAAAAATTGAACACTAAAGTATTGTGCAGGTAAATTACATGGCTTCACCTCAAAATATTGACAGAAAACAAGTTGAAGTGTGCCTATCACAACGACGAAAGAGAGGAAGAAAATAATTTTTGGGCTTAACATTTGTCTCCTTGCAATGAACCAATCTTAGATGCGAAATCTCTGAACCTCTTGAAATAAGCACTACTGCGGCAGTTGAGCGTTGCAGAGTTCTGAAAAACTGAAGAAATTATGGCAGAAATTTTTCATACAATCGCTACTCCTTATGAACTGCTGAAATATTGCACTGTATTTAGTTCACTGTGATTTGAGTTACTAAAGACCAGCCTCTGATCGTAGCATTTGTATTTGTTTACCTTATATGAAAAGAATGCTTAACCAGACTCCGTAATGTGCGTCTCTTCAAAGACTTGCAACGGCAAAATTCTTCGTTCAATAGTTATGGATATCAAGGTTGTTTGGTTGTTTAAAGAATAATATGGCATGCATTTGTAGAAGAGCTAGAAATTTATACAGAAACATTAAAAAATCAAATCACCTGACTTCATATTTCCAAAGCTAGTTCTACACTCCCAAAGTCTAATTAGTAAAATTTTTTCTTGAACCAAAGTCACATAAGCAATAAATCAGAATAAGTCAGTTCTGCATTTCGACGTACTCTATGGTAAAAATTATCGTGGCCAGTGCATTTTACAAAACAATATGTGAACACTAATCATTAACGAAAAATGTCTCTCATGCTAAAAGGAACTCTTTTAAAAAAAAGTAATTATCTGATAGTTTTTAGTAACGCATATGTTACGTAATACAGAAGATGTGTTCCACTTCATGTGCCTCTAAATTCCGGTCCTTAGGAAGAAGTTTCATTTCAGTATGATGTCAAGTGAAAATACTCCACTCTGCCCAAATTCTGAGGATTATATTTGACGATTCTAGTTATTGTAGCTAAAAATAGGATCGCATGTCTTCTTTCAGAAGCACTACATCTTAGCAGATTTATAAACATATCAGTTCGATTGCTCTTCCAGAGTGATACAATATGAATAAAGCTTTGGTTTTCAGCTCATTTTCATAGCCAGATATGACATGTATATTCATCATTAGCTTCGCTCTTCTTTATTATCTTGAAATTTCTCGTTGCAATCTTCTGAATCTAAACTAACAAAAACTATCATGATGAGGTCATGAACAACTGTGTAGTGCTCCATTTCAACAGAATTCATGTTTAACCAATCAAATTACGGCGATACCATATGAAGTCATCAAAATCACTACGACTAAATTATAAAGAGATAAACTTGGTGATAATGCAGTTTAAATGAGTACAAAAAACGTATTGATAATCTGAGTGTTTACATTTAGTTCTGCAACATAGTACATGGAATCGAAAATATAGGAGACAACTTGGAGGCAGAATCAAAGCGTTCTATAGTGCTTAAAATTTTATTTAGTAAGACGTTTGATTAAACGTCATACTGATGTCGTATTTTATTTGGGGTCCGTCGATTGTCACAATTTTTTTTGTGTCCAAAAATGTTGTGAGCATTTCCCAGGTTCCCCTTTCGGAACCTTACCTCTCAATGGTTTCTAGCATTCGATGCATGGATGATGAAAAAAATTTAAATGTTAAGCCTCAGAATGTTATATTTTTTTCTCTACACAGTGATGCTACTTTCGTGCAAAATTTCACACAAAATATTTGAATGTGGTTTACATTTTGTTATGAGAAACAATAATATTGCTCAGATTCTTGTAACGAGCCCTAAATGCATGTTAACTTGCACAACTAATCACTTTAAATCGACGTTACGGAAAAAGACACGTGATCATAAATAGCGAAGAGATCGGAGAGGAATTTCATTCTAGAAAGATGTATAAATATCCACGCACATCGTACATATGCATAAACCACAGTAATTCCTATATATTGTGCCGTCGCAATACACTGATTATCTTACGCCTCTTCTGCTTGTTGAGGAAGTGAGCGACCATCAGTGATACGGTCCGTAGGTGATGTGTAATATAATATATATACACATATACTTTAACGAAGTAATATCAATAACACAAACGCTTAGCGTAGCAAAATTTCAATCAATAACAGTTATTAACAACTGTGATATTTCATACTTATTCCCCATAAGTCTTCCACTTTCCTGTATTTCCAAACATATATATCTTCTTTACACTTATCTTCTGATGTCATTTATATGAATCTGTCGTCAACGCTACTTTATCACACGATTACCGACTCGTTTGTTCTGACTTCTTTCGGCTTTTAGGTATTCAGTAGAACGTTTTATTACTGTTGTATGAGTATGTTTATAAACTAGTATCTTTTGATGGTAGCAATGTTTACTAAATTATTTCCATTGCAACACTTTTGCTTCTGAATCTCTTAAAAGCATACGAATAGCATACGAACATCATGCTTTTATTTGTGCACTAGACTTCTAAAAAACTTTCTGAAGGATAACAAAACTCACTCTCGATAAAACACAATTTCTGCACAAACTTTATGACCAAGAAGGCTGTCAGCACATAGTCGCGTATTGAAAGCTTAAAACTTGATGATTCCCAAGTATGTATCACATAAAGGTACAGTGAATGCATTGCACAAAGTCTTTAATCAACTCACTGATAAAAAAGTTACTTATTTTTTAAAAATAAACGCATAGCTGTAAAGACCATAGAAATATCAGAGAA